AAAAATCTAAATGATAGAGACCAGTCTTAATATTATTACTTCTACTATTTAAAAGGACATTCAACAAAAAGTATTTTAAATTGAAGGAACAGATTGAACGTTTGATTCACCAAAGACAAATGGTGAGCTCAAGCTCAGCTTGCCAAATTTATAGTGGGCTTGAGTTTGGCTCAATAAAGAAGAAAGTCAGGATGCTAACTCGTGAGCTTTACTCTTCAGAAGAAAGAGAAAGTCAAGATGCTTGGTCACTGGAGTTACAATGGGCTCAAACTCGACTCGTGAACATGCCTCGCAAAAGAAGGATGTTAGGATGCCAACTTGTGAGCTTTGCTCGTTGGAGAAGGAAGTAAGAATGTGTGGTTTTTATTAATAAGACATAGCAACAAGGCATTTTGACACCTTATTACTTATCAATTTCTATTAAAAATTATATATATATATATATAATCAACAAATAGACTACACGCATTAAGACTAAGGTTTGTATCACTCCAGAGCGCATGCTAGGGTTTCAAGTGGATCGGGAGTGAGCGAGAGTCCATACGTCTTCCCATGCATTAGACAAAGGCACTAAGCAACACATGGAGTTTGATGAGGAAGTTTGTTTATGCTATGTTGAAAGCCTCACGGAAGGTAATTAGAATACGCAACCAAATTTATTTGCAATAACATGATGAATGTGAGCATACTTAGAGCATGTTCAACTAAGTTCATACAAAAATAAAGAACTGATTGGTTGTATGATAAAAAAAAGAAGTTGGTTTATGTTATGTTTAATAACAATTTAAAAGATAGACAAATCAAATTATATATGAAGAATGAAGATATCAATGCTAAAATTCAAAGGGCTACTTAGTTAGGAGCAGCATCTACTTCATAATCATTTAGAAAAAAGAAGCGAATTGAGGTAGGAGCTTAAAAAAATCAAAAGGTTATTTAAGTATAAAGGATTACTTTTTAGTTTCGTTAATTTATTATTTTATTTTAGATTATATTGAATCAATGTTAACTGATATAGGAAGTATAAAAAAATTATAATTAAAGAAAATTTTAAGATAACAATAATATAGAATATGAGGATGATAGAATTATTATATATAAGGAATCTTCGAAAAAATATGAAAAAGAAGATAAGGCCATCATGGATTTTGATTTTCATGACTTATTTAGATATTAATTGAGTGTTTGCCTTGAATCTCATTTCAAACATTCATTTTATATAAACACTTAAAATTAAGAGTTATGGTTCATGTCTTCAAAATGATGAATTAAGTAAATATGTTAAAGATAATGTCATTTATGTTATTTTTATGAATTATTTGTAATTTATGAGTTTCTATTTTTCTTATTCTGAGGATTACGTCTCGCGTCGCTGAAGCAAAATGCTACGATTCTCAATTTTATCTTTCTAAACATTGATAGAACCTAAAATGAATATACATATCCATAGTATATTGAATTATACATTGCAAAAAATCATCTAAATATGAAGAAAACATACTAAATAATTTTAGTAACGTTTGAGGACCTTCTTTAGCATCATCTTCACATCGTCATGCCATAAATATAATGGTATATCAAACTTCGAGAAATGATTCTCTCCAAATGTAATGGGGAGAAAATTGAAGCTTCAAAATAGGGTGAAAATTTCTTTCATTTAGGATCCAAATCCAACCAAATAGAAAGAGCCAACACAACTTCAAGAGAAAGACCGAAGCCGAAGCTCTACTACAACAATTGATAATATTGGGTATCACCTATGATGCAGCGACACTTCTCCTCAAAGAGGCATGCAGTGTCCGACACGACACACGCCCGACATGTGTCGGACACGCCGAAAACATGTCTGATTGAGAAATATTAAATACAAATTGGACACGTAACCGACACGCGTATCTTAAATATTTTATGAATTTTTTAAATATAATTTCTTGTATTTGGCGAGATTTAAATTAAATTTCTTATTTCATATCCACAACACCAAATCAACGTCCGCATTTAATACCCAATCATCGAATATTCTCATTTTCATTTCTTTTTGGCAGTGAAGGTATTTTCATCTCCTCTCTCGGTGACTGATAAACGACATCGACGCCTAACTCTCGACATCCTAATACTAATCATTTTAAGCACAAATTATAGTTAAATGACTTATTATTTTCAAATTATTTTTAAAATTATACTTATTTAATTTTTATACACTTTTTTTTAAAATAAAAAAACTATAATACCGTGTCCAACCCGTATTCGTATCTATATTTTCAATAACTGACGTGTCCCGTGTCCGTGTCGTGTCGTATCCATGTCACCGTGTCCGTGTCTGTGCATCATAGGGTATCACTCACAACTCCGCCTATCTAGGATGATTCAATCTTCTTAATAAAGAAAACACATAAGCCTTTTTCACCTATATAGAAAAGCATCATACCTATTTTAGGAGATGGAACCATAACCTAAGGACTTGGGAGATGTATATTTTTCTCATAATTCTACCTATAATGGATAGTTTGTTACTTCTGTTTGTGAAAATACAGAGCTTATAAAAAGAGGATAGCACACCTATAAAGGGCAGTGTTAAATTTCTTTTAGAAGGAATTAGAGCCTAGCAAGAATGAATGAAGAGATGTGAATTTTCCTCACAATTCCACTGATGAAGGGCAATTTGTTAGTTTTATTAGACACGCCATTGCTTTCAAGGGACAATGCAATTCACCTATACAGGGCAGTGTTTAACCTCGTTAAGAGAAGGAAATAAAGCCTAAAATTTTTTGAGAGCTATGGATTTTTGTCACAACACCGCCTATGAATAATAGTTCGGCGCACTTGATAAATATGCACTGGAGTAGGCAAAGGAGAATGAAAGCTGCCTGACAAGAAATTTTAGCCTTTTCTCAAGAAAAGAAACTAGAGCCTTCAAAGGAGGAAATTGAGAACAGTGAGTTTTTCGCTCCATTATAGATGATATTTATACTTGAAGAGAAGGAAAAGAAGTTGAAATATAGATTGCAAATTCCTAACATTTTCAAGATTTTTTCGCATTGTTTCGGAAATTTCTACAAGCTTTAACGAATTCATTTAATTTTTGGATGAAACTATGCTAGTTCTAAGAAAAAGAAAGGAGAAATTGCCTATAGGTGCGGTCATGCACCTGGCACAAGCGAAACATGCAACGGTACCTACCAGCTGACCCGACCTAGTTCAAGCCTAATTTTGGGCCCAAGCAAGCCATTGATAACATTTTTGGAATCCCTAGATCTTTTTTTGATATTCTAGATTCAATTTTAACACTTTTAAATTGCAAAAGAGTCTTGATAATCAACTTCAAGTAGATTTGATGAGTTTGAAGAAATTTTTTTAACAATGACCATGTAAATCGATGTGTTGATTTCAACAAAGGCTAAAATTATGATAAATATATTTTAGTTGGTTCACAGCGTTGACGTCTATGGAATGATCGCAACTTGTAAATTTTTTGAAATTGCAATTGTCTGCTACAAAATTTTTTGGAAGGCTTAATATATATTTTGGACACTATAGATTACAACATCCATAAATTTGTGGGAAAATGATACACCATATAAGAATCTGCTTAATCGGCATGAATCTCAACGCATTATTTTATATTAAAATCTTTTGAAATTAAATTAATAATTATCTAAGCTCTGGTTTCAACAAATTTATAGTCGAAATGAATACCTCAACAAGATGAACCTAATGACACAAACATGATCATATTTGAGTCCAAATGAATCAAAATCAAGCATTTGAAGCATATTTGAAAACTTCGAGACATTCATTAAAGGACCAACTATTTCCAAATGTTGCATGCTTTCAATTAAATCAAGCTGCTTAACAAGATGAATTCAACAAGCTCAAGATCATTTGATTCTAAGATCTTTAAGATTCTTAAATGTTATATAAACGATCTAAAATCAAAATATTTAACATGGGTAATTCGATGAGTGTTATAGAATTTTGACTAAATTTATCAAAATGTTACTCATAAAATGCTATAAATAGATACATATTCTTTACATGAAAGGAATCTAGAGTTGAGATTGGAGAGAGCTTGGAGACTGAAAAAATGCTAGAGTTTTACCCAATGTTCAATGGCAATGATCATTATTGACCACCATCAATTCAAGAGCAGAATCAGTTTACTTTTGAGGGTGGGCAAAACTTGTGGTGGCATTCAGAGAATCATAACTGGTGGGGGCCAACAGAGTCCAAACAACACGTGACAAGTCGTTCGACGATTGTCATCATGCATGTGTGGGACAAACAATGAGTGGTTGCACCTGCGTGAATACGGGGGGGGGGGGGGGCAAATTTTCAAAATTAAACCCCTTATACATACAACTCAATTATGAGGGTGGGCAATTGGTACAAATGGTGTTCCAACCTTGACCATCATCATCCTTTAGCATCACCGAATCGTCATTGCCCAACTGTCATCAATTAACAATCATCATCGCCCGACTATCACAATCTATTCACTACCATTTGATCATCTTCAAACTATTATCGCCCAACCTCCATCACCTAATTGTTGTCGTAAACCATCGTTATTCGACTAACATCAACCATATGTGGCCAAGCTAATCCTATCCAACTGCCATTTTTATCCCTCCAATACTTCTTAACAATCTCTAGTGCAACTACGAGAGATCAAACTCCCAATTTTGTAAACTCATCTTCTCCAATTATGGAGAAAAAGTGGTATCTATGACTTCAAGTGTACAATACAAGTCTAGTGGTTTTTCCATTCTTGTACTTTTCACATAAAAACTCTAATGTCCTGTGCATTCTTATCTTTTATCATTGTGTATGCAAGATTTTCATGTAAATTTAGAAAATAAAATTCTCTATTGGTGCCACAATAATACTAAAACTGTTTTTAATGGGAAAAGTGCCAAACAACTTGCGCGCAAAAAAACGATAGAGCAGCTCATCAAATAAATAAGCAAAATCTGCGCACCACGTGAGAAAGAGGAGATTACCGCCTTGAGGGGACACCGATAGAACATACGCCCAGGATTCTTGGCAGTATTCGAGGTTAGAATAAGGCAAGTTCCAGACCCGCAAGGACAATGCTTCTCCGCCACCAAACTACCCGTTCGATCCACAGAACCATCATGTCCCCCTCCACATTCTCTCGCCCAATGCCCCATCATGCCGCATTTGAAGCATGAGCCGCCGACCATTGTAGAAGAAGGGGCGGTGCTATTACTGCCTGAACTAAGGGAGGCAACACCGCCGCCTTTGTTGTGGAGATTAAGGTGTTGCTGCTGAAGTTTCCAAAGGGAACTGCGGCTACCTCGGAGAGCGGCCATGTATGAGCCCTCCTCCTGGTTGTCTTGCGGGCAGCTCTCATCGCCGGAAGCGGTCCCCGAGAGTTTCTGGCGCTTAGCGATTCTAGCTGAATCAATGGCATCTGCCTCCGCTTGTTCGATTAGGGAAAGGAATTGATCGTCGTTGTCCTCTTCGATCTCCCCCATTTTTGACTCTCACTCCAATTCACCTAAAGTTCACTTGAACTTCCAGTTGAATTAAATAAAATGGCATGTATGTAAATCCCTCTTATAATTATTAAGGGGATTTAGAACTTACCATAAAATCGCTATTTATTTATATATTTTAAAAATATTTTAGTATTTCAGTAAAACAATACATATATATATATGAAAAAATATATTACCCTTGAGTGTTATTATTTGTGATATTTTTTTCTCATTTTAAAATATTAATTTATATGAGTAAATATAATTATTTAAGTGTTAAATATATAAATACATAAGAATATTATTGTACACTCATAATTATTTGTGTAGGTATTTGTTCACAGGCATCTCATATGCCACATTCGGATTGAGCATAAGAAGGGCCCACCAGGGGCGGATCCAGCTTCTTTTTTCAGGGTGGGCAAAAAAAATTTTTTTTTGTGGGGGATGGGCAGAGATGCTTAGGATTTATAAAATGAGGGCAAAAAATTTTTTTGAGAGGGGGAAAAATGCCAAAAATACCCAAAATATTCCAAACAATCCCTCTAAAATAAAAATTTTTTTTTTGAGGGGGGGCATTTGCCCCCCCCCCCTCAAGTCAATGGGGGTCCGCCCATGGGGCCCACTCGTCTCTCGAAATTGTCCATTCGAGGGACACGCTTAGGAGCTAGAATGTGCTTAATATTTGGAGCATAATGAACTAGCACCGGCCACTTCCTTCTGGCAGTCATCCCCTATAGAGAGAGGGCGATCTTAGAAATTCATCTCTCAACTAGACATATTTATCTATCTAAACTAGAATTAAGGTTGTGTTTGGGACAGTTTTCTTATTGTTTCTTAAAGCAGCTTTCAAGTATGAAATTTTTTTTAAAAAAAAATTAACTAGAAAGTTGCTTCAAGAAGCAGTAAGAAAGTCGTCCCAAACGAAACCTAAGTCTCCCATGTGAGACATATCCAAGAAGCCAACAGAATGCATCACCTCTCCAAAGACCTTTTTAACGCCAACTCAAAAACTACATCCAGATGTTAGTCGCCCTCCTCATAACAACGAGATAGGTCTAAATCATCACTTGACATCACTCGGCATGCCCTTCTCAACGTCCATTCCACTCATCACCAATGGTCGCTACAAAGTATTGATGGGAAGACACTCACATCCTATTATTTAACCTCTACATCCTTTCAAACCCTATAAAAAGGGGATAAGGGGGAAGACAGGAAGTTCTGGTTTGACGGGTGAGGTGAAAAAAAATGATCTTTCCATAAAGATTTCTCTTTTCCATTAGAGAAAGAAATATTTCTTCCCACAGAAACATTAGAAAATTTTTAATCAAGCCAAACTAGATTGTATCATGTTTTTCCTTTTTTTAAGCTTAGCAGCACTAAGCTCTCGCTTCGACTATTCTTATATATATGGCTTAGAAAATGAAGATTTTATCTAAATCTTTACTCTTGAATTTATCTCCCCACGGGTTTTCAATCCACAGGCAGCTTGAAGTACGACCCGACATCATCCACCAAATGAAACGATATTCAACAATTATAGTATTTATGTAAGTCCCCTAAATATTATTGACCCTCACTTTAAATATTATATATATTTTTAATGTTTTAAGAGGATAAGAGTAAAATAAATAGAAAGATAAAAAGTAGTTTTATTGAGAAATTTGGAATACTCTCTTAGGCAAAATTTGAGTTTATTCTGAATTTGTTCGAATTAAATGAATTCACATTCATTGCTTCACAAAGCATGAAGTCGTGGTCTCATCCCCATATGTCCACCCTATCCAATCTTGATTCGACAACTGCTCCATGCCCAGCAAAAAACAAGCTTAGAAGCTATAAAAACTACCTTAGAAATTATTTTAATGCAAAATATAAGTTTAAGAATAATAATCATAATAAATTTTATTCATTTTACTTCTAATTAAACATACCAAAATGATCTCCTAAATTATTCTACAAGCAACCAAAAAATCACAAGTATTCAAAATACATTATAATTAAAAGTTTGACTTTTTATCACTCTTAATACACCACTTTAGACTATATATCCATTAAGTTTTATTTTATCCCTCGAGCTAATTATTGGACCAAAATACTCTTATGTTAAAATATAAGGTATAATGTTGAAAGATAAGAAGGAGAATTTCATTATTATATCAATTGTGGATGTATGAAAATAACTTTAGTAATCATTTTAATAGTTAGGCACTAAACCTACCATAAGGAAGGTCACTGAGTCTAACCAAACCATGTTAGCAATGAGCAGGCATGTTTAGTAACATTCTAAGGGGCTATTTGTTTTGATGAAAGAGGAATGTATAAAAAAAAATACAAATGCAAAAGTTGATATTTTTATATTTAACTTTGAAGTATACTTACTTATGTGTAATATTCGATAGCGGCAATGAGGTAGCTGAATGATGGCAATGTATAGAGGTGATCAATGACAATAGGTATAGATTTGATGGCCAATTATGGTAGACAACAGTGGCAATGGTTGATATTGGTGGCAGATGTGAGACCTCGTTCCTTTACTGTTCCTCTCTGACTTGGATTTTCCTCCCAGGATCGTCCGGGACGATAGTGAGATCGTCCAGGCCAATCTGTACTGTTCAAAATATCGGCCTGAAACTAGTTCTGGGAACCGTCCAGGACGATCGATTTTGGTCTGATCATCCCGGGACGATTTGGCGATCGGCCGGGCCGATCAGCCTAATGATATAAGAAAATCAGCTCGTTTTGAAGAGAGAGAAAATCATTTTTATAAAATCAGATATTTTGAAGAGAGAGAAAGAGAGGAAAAGCTGGGTTTTGGAGGCCGCGGAGCGCTTTTCGTCCGACGCTGCTGTTGGGAAAAGTGTAGATCTCGTGGTAAGGACTCCGAATCCTATTTATGTTTTCAGAGATATTGAGTTTTGACCGAGTTGTGCATTGTTTTGTGTTTTCGTAGTCGAACTTTTGACATGATTTCGTATTGACACAACTTTCACCGCACAACTTTTAGTATGTTATAAATATGATAATTGTACACGATTTAAGTATTTTCCA